TGGTCAAACGGTTAAACATTCAATGAATCTATATAATTATATATATAATTATCTAATTATATCCATATAATTTTACATACAATATAAATTTTATCTAAAAGTGGCCAGCTTCGTGGCTAGGCCTGTTTGTCGGAGGGAATAGTGCATTTTCGATCATTTTCGCAGGTTGCAGTTGGATTGTGGGACTTGTAAACTGAGGACATCATTTATTCACAGAGTGGTCGGGATCGGCACTTTGGCTTACAGCAAGTTTCATTGCATAGATACATGAGATCATATGAGATCAAAAGCTTCGCAGAAAGATGCAAAAGATAGCACATGATGGCACTCCATCCTTGTTTTTGCAGTACTTCGCAGTCTTTTTGACTTGCGGCATGCGGCATTGGTCAGGCACCATCAAGAAACCTGCCAGATTCTGCCATCTTCAAATCGCGCCGCTATGCCACCCAAAGCCGATCCCACGTCTCCGGGCCCTGTGCCGACTCCACAGGTCTGAACTGAGCGTGGGCACCTGCCAAAGCGGATGTCCCGTATCATGATGCCACACGGATATGGATAGATATGATATAGAAAGATATAGATCTTCAACTATCATAGCTATCTATATCATATCTATATGATGTCAGTTGATTATGGTCTCATAGCAAAACTGAGAAAAACTGACTGTGGCCAGGTGCTCCCCGCGCGACGCTTGGATGAGGAGACGATGGGTATCGATGGGTCCCGGTGGGCCATGGGCAAGGTGGGAAACCCCATGAAATCCTATAGTAACTGGGAACATCCTCGAACTAAATGGATGTTCCAGCAAACCACGTTTGATTACTGGAGGGGAAGGCCATGATCTGCCATTTATCGAGGTACCCTAAATCAACCAGAATTAGCAATCCCCCATGACTTAGGGAACCCGCATGTATGACGAAAATATGAAAGATTACGAAACATGATGAAATATGAGGAATATGAATGACTAATCCCAGGATTTTGGGGAATCGCTTCATCTGATGCGCTAGGCCTTCCACCAGATCCCAGTGGCTGGAAGCACCTTAGACGCGCAGGTGTCGTGAAATTCTGGTCCAGATCGAGCTGAGGGACACATCACACATTATAACGACCTCACGGCGACCTCACTACCAGTAGAATGATGGTTAGGATTCAGGGAATCACCTCCCAAATGACCTTATTTCAGGTTAGTCAAATATGATCATTTACCCAGACCAATGGTCAACACACCATACAACACCGGACTGGAACGCACACATTGTCACAAACATTGGACAAAATCATTCCATGTGTTGATTTCTGTGATGTATGTCGCGTTGCCACCAGGTTCATTTCTCCCTAACCAGTCCTATTGCGGTGATTGCGACCCACCCTTGGGGGCCCCTTGGGGGCAGCATGGCCGACCCACACCCTCGGACCGTTGCAGCCTTAGTTGGTCACTGTTTCAGATGCAAGTTGGGCAAGAGACACTTCCCAATACTCTGGCAGGTGTGTCATGTGTTGGGGGCCCCAGCTGCTTGGTTCGTTCCGACTTCGAAACATTTCTGCAGAAGGGACCTGTCCCGATAAATGTCTCTGAGGTTTGGTGAAGCAGGGTGCACCACAGTGAGGACAGCACTAGAGGTTTTCATGCTGTTCTTTGAGCCAGACCACTGGGGGAAGCCAAGCAAACGATGGATTTGACATAGGATATAAGTGGAGTGCATGGGTCAAGTCTTTTGATCCCTCAACATGTTTGGCACATTTCAGCAGAATACTCAGATGAGATCACGTGAGCGCTTACTTCATCACAAACAGGAACCTAATGATGAAGCTGAAAATACTCGGATATGTCTGACATGCGTTCTTACTTTATCAATGATAGAAAAACCATGAAAAGCAATTTGCCACCATTTGACCACCATTTTAGATTCAGTATTTCCCTTGTTCTGCATCTTCCATCTTTTTTTACGGTTTCTTATCGGTCTGCTGAAATCCAGGTTCAACTTCCGCTCCGGCGTGGGATCGGGTAAGAGCTCTGTGGAAGATGTCAAGCACCTGGGACGGACACAAGTTGACGTTGACAGCGTTGGGACGGTTGGCACTGGAGCCCATTCGGAGCCTAAAGACGAGCCCATAAAAAAACTTGTTCAGTTTATCTGAGTCATTCTGGTCACAATAAGTCAATATGATAATATGTATCTGATTAATGTAAATTATGTACGTCGTTTTAATCAATATACTAGTATGATCTATTGTTGATCATGTCAACCCTGAATAAAGCTTGACTGGTAGATATGAATAGGCTGGGTACGCCACAAGTGATACGTAGAGAGCCCAGATGGTACCCCAATTTAACCGTTTTGGGGTCCATAGTCTGGGTTTGGCATCCTAGTTTTGTCAGGGAAATCACCTACAAACATATCCCAAAATTGCGTTTCTTCTAGGCGAGTGATTACCATGACAATGAGCTTTCCTAAACTCAGCTCAGCCTTCAAGTAAGTTTCTGCAGTACGACCTATGACGTTGTCTGAGTTTTGCTGGAACGAATCCAGAAGGAGTCAACCTTCCTTGGCAGTGACTATCTTCAATTGAAATGACCCTTAGCTGTCAAGCTGCCAAGCGAGAAAGATTGGAAAACATATCAAACAACGGGGAATTGGACCATATCTGGACCATTTTTAATATTTGACCAACAAGAGATGAGATTTCAAATGGTTTTTCCATGTTTCCCCCATGTTTCCACATTGTCCATCGAGAACCAGGGGGATGTTTGACTTCGCCACCAGCCCCCCTAAAGGGCTGTGGCATCGTGGCTCACGAGTCCCAGAACTGCACCTGAGGTGGGGGATTTTTTGCCATCGGCGATGGCCATGAAAGCATGGTGCAACATACCCTCTGGTTATGTCAAAATAGCTATGGAAAATGACCATTAATAGTGGATTTTCCCATTAAAAATTGTGATTTTCCATAGCTATGTTAAATTACCAGAGGGTCAACATCATTTGTTCAATTATAATCATTGTTTGGCCATATTATAAATATAAACGTCATCTGTTTGGCCATATTGTTTATCAAACATCGTTTTTGTGTCCAAATAATATGGGGGAAAATGCCAATGTCATTTTGGCATAGCATTGATTGGTGATATTTCTAACATTGATCTGGGAACATGCTGATGATTCAGAGCATTCCTTTTGCCATTGACAGGAGATATTTCATATGTTTGTCATTGGATATGAGGATTTAACTCTAAGAGTGGGTATCAAACCAATCATTTCATGGTGAAAAAATGGGATCTATAAACACTGATAATTTGGCAATGTCTGAAAATGTGGTGGTTGCCACCAAAGGGCCATGTTGGTCGGGAAGTCATGATTGATATGATTGACCAACAAAATTATAAATACCATGGTGTCACCTGTGAATTTCTCTTCTGTCACTCCATTGAATGCGACTGAGCATGGCGAAACGAATGGTTTGCCGCAGGCTGGTGGCAGGATCATCGCTTCCAAGGCTAGACCCAATTGACAAGTTGACAAGTCATGCGACAGCATGCAGTGCCCAGCTGGAAATGAGCTGGTTATGGCTTGAAATATGATTTAAACATGTTTTAAACCAAAGAGCTCTAGAAATGACAAGACGTCTTGCACCTTTGGTGCCTCAACTGTGGCCAACGGCTCCCCAGCTGGCAGATGATGGTGCAGGTGCTGATTGTGGGATATAGCTATGGTTCACTGATTGGTGCTGCGGCTGCAGTCTGCTCCTCAGTTGGTGCTGGGTTTGTTGTGGGGCAAAAGCTAGGGGTCCCAAGTTTTCCCGAAGCCATCACAGTTTTGCTCTTGGCTTTCAAGATCTTTCAAGTATAACGTGCACTTTCAGATCGTTCCCAGCAATTCCGTTGCATTTTCATTGCCCCATCACTGCTTTTGATATATTTTGATGGTCATCACTGCCGGTAAGGATTTCCCTGGGCTGGACGGCCCTCATGTTTTGACCATTGCGCCGCAAGGAGGAAATCCCCGAAGCACTTGGAGCGAGCCCCAGAGTGCCTGGCTCCTGGCTGACAGCGACAGCAGAACTTGGGACACAGGTTATGCCATGATTGGCCCGCCATTGGACTATGGCGCTGCACTGAGTTTAAACTGCTTGAAAGATTAGCATAGATTAGCGACAAGGCTGACAAGCAGTCACGAAGTAGTCTATGACAAGTCACTATGCACCATTGTTTTTGCTTGTCAGTTTTTCGCTGACAACTCTTGCCACTATTAGAGCCTGCTACCTTAGTCATCCTTAGCCTATAATCCCTTCCCCCTAATACTAACCCCCCCAAATAATAAACAACTCAGCTAGTTTTTATTATTAGGGCGTATTTATTATTAATGAGGGTGTCAAAATTCCTCCTATTACTAAATTAAAAACCCTAATATAAAAAACTATTTTTTTCTATTTCAAAATCGATTAGATATCCTTTTAAAATCTAATTAAAATATTGCCAAAAATTAGATTTCGAAGCTTCCCCCTAATACTAAATTTAAAACATGTTTAAACCCTAATTATAAAAAACTATCTTTTTCTATTTCAAAATCGATTAGATATCCTTTTAAAATCCAATTAAAATAGTGCAAAAAAATGGATTTCGAAGCTCCCCCTAATACTAAATTTAAAACCCTAATATAAAAACATTTTTTTCGATTTCAAAATCGATTAGGTCTCCTTTTAAAATCTAATAAAATTATTGCAAAAAACTGGATTTCGAAGCTTCCCCCTAATACTCAATTTTCAACCCTAATAATAAAAGACATTAAGCAACTATTTTTTCTATTTCAAAACCGATTAGATTTCTTTTTAAAATCTAATTAGAATATTGCCAAACATTGGATTTCGAAGCTTTCCCCTAATATTAAATTAAACACCTTGATATAAAATAGTTTTTTCGGCCTTAAAAGACGGCCCCCAATAAACAACACACCGGGGTTGACTAGTTTTTATTATTAGGGGGTGAAACCCTGAAATGGTAGCTTCATTTTTCAATTGTTTTCTGAAGGGGATCAATAAAAAATCAGATTGGCCAACCTCAAATTTTCCAAAATTGGAGACGGACCCTAGATTTTATTTTTTTTTGGGGGGTTTAGTACTAGGGGGAAGGGATTATAAAAATGATAAAAAATAAAAATAAAGGTTTTGTCACCGTTTGTCACTGCATGTTCGGTCTCGGCTTCTCAAGCTTCAGGATGGGCTTTGTACATGTTCAACGCTGCGAATCTGCGGGCAAAGGCAGCGAACTCCGCCGGAAAGCCAAAGTTGCTTCTGGTTTGGCAACCCAGTGTGCCACAAGCACTGCGGAAATTTGAAATTATAAGTTATAAGATATAAGATGTTACAAGGGTCAAGATATGTCAAGATACAAGTTCAGAAAGGAATGAAAAGGACTTCTAAGGCCTCTCAGAGTCGAAAGCAGAACAATATAGTCCCTTTCGATCTAATTACTTGGGCATATTTGGAGGCCTCCATGTTCCGTGAATCGTCTTCAAAACCCGAATGATTTTTATTCTTTGTGAAGTTCTGTTTCTAAGGTGGGCACTAACGATCAGTTCTGCTCCATGAAGTCTTTCAAAGGCGACCCGGACAGTCGTGTCAACAGGTGTCCCAAGAGATTCTTCATTTGGACAGTTTGGAAAAGACACCTTCTTGATCCTTCTTGTAGGATCTTGTAGGTACTTGGGTAATTAGTTGACCAACCACGGCGCAGGTTTCGCAGACACCTTGTGCCACCCTCGGATATTCGATGCATCGACAGATACAGCATACAGATGTGTGTACGTGATAGAATAGTCTTATATATTTGCGTATTGATTGGCAAGTGGCAAGCGATAGCAAATGCATAAAATATCAAATATCATTGTATCACGCATATATATATATATGATTATATGTAATATATATATATATAAGCGTATATATTCATTATATGACATTAATGATTGCGTGTACAGATGCACCTCTAAATAGAAACACAGTTCCATCAGTTCCAAAAGCAACATACTTGAACCGGATGATTCGAATAAACCATCAGCAAAAAATGTGTTTTCATTCCCACTGAAATCACTAAATCAGCAAAAAAAATGCAGCATAAATATCTTCCAAAAACCACCAACACAAATGCTCCAAAAATCATCAAACACCAAGAAATGGCGCCAGGATTTTCCCATGGATTTTCCGCCAGGCCTGGACCCAAGGAGATGCAGGTCCTGGATGGCTTAGACCATTTCAGCCTCTTCAAGCCCTTAGCGAAGGCAATGACAGGGGTTTCCCACCAACATTAAGGTGTGGATGATGTCTGAACTATTGAACTATGCTTTAATATCTTAAATATGTTTCAGAGATATTGTATGATATTGTTGGTTTGATATGGTTTGATTAGGGTACTACCTAAAAAGAGAGAATCTGTGGGATTGTGTAAAAAATCATGGTGTTGAATCCACGGAATATGGTTTGACCAACAAAAATGGGATGTATTAAACATTAACCAATTGAAACGGTTGAAAACCAAAATTGGGCGCGCATTCACCTTGTCAATTTGGCGATGAAAAGCGTTTCTGGAAACACCTTTGAGTTTGTATGTTGGAAGGCTTAGGCCGTGGTGGGCCTGTACCAGTAAGGAAGTCTGCTTGAAATACTCTCAACTAGTCAAGGTTGTCTATGACTTTTAATGGGGCCATCCTAGCAGGATAAATTGCATTATGTCCCATTGAAGTTTTTGCACCGTTTCAAATGCTTCAAATGTCACAATTAGGTCCCTTGAGATGTGAGTGGCGACCATCTAGTCATGGGGGGCCGCCTGGTCGAGGCCTTGACTGAATGGGTCATGAGAGCTTTCCACGTCAGCATGCCAGAGTTTGCGCGGGGAGCGTGCCTGGGCGGATTTGGCGGATCTCCAACAGCACCGGTTCCCTATGGGTTCCCTATGTTTTGACCTCGATCCAAGTTGGAGCCAAGGTGGCTGTCTCCTTCGGTTGGAAGCCCAGCCTGAGAAGACAGCTTCGACAGACTTTTCGTTTGTTGCCTTGGCAGGAGCCTTCTCCAACAGTCAGCGTCTCAGTGGACCATACTTTGCTTGTTTTCTGGCTCTGCTCAGCAAAAAATCGAAAGCGTCAGGCAAGTGCGCAGGAACAAAATAAGCGACTAAGACTAAGACGTGATCAAAAATTGAAAGTACTGCGGCCCGTGGGCCTGATACACTGGTAGGAAAAAGTTGCCCTTGTTGAGCTTCCGACAGTGAACATGTTTGGTTTCTTCTGCGCATCCTTTCCCCGTAGAATCCTAGCATGGAGCTGTGCCTTACCCCGGTCGTATTTCCACCCTCCAAAAGCTTTAAAATCTTACAGATTTAAAAGAGGGTGATAATTGACCGTCCCACACCTGCCACACAAGACAAACTTGAACATGTGATCCGCGGTTGACCGAGATGGATGTTTTGTAAGAGGCATAAACTTTGTTCCTCCTGAAGTATACCGCAAAGATTTGGCACTCGGGCGAGTTGGGTCCGGGTGAACCAAAGTAACATAAGCTCTAATCTCTAAAGCTTCAAAGACAGCAAACATATCTAAGATGAAATGTTTAAGTTGCTCCTATGGCTGGCCCCCTGGATCACATCATGCATCATCATGCTGCGGGGATGTGTGCGGATGTTGTTTTAAATAGACAGAGAGAATATATGTACACATGTGCGTGATTGTTTCTCGACTTGGTGTCAGGAAAGCCCAGATTATTTCTTTGTTGCCAAAAGCGTCCACTTTTTTCAAGCAACAGCGGATTGTGCACAGGCACAACTGAGCCCAAGCAAAGCAGAGAGCAAAGAGGCTTGGCTGTTTTCCTTGGACATGCATTATAATTATGATGCATGATCATTCTGCTATAATTCTGTCTAAAGTAATTGTCATAGCTGCTGGCCACGGGTACGTGCGCGCACAGAGCATTGCTGACTGCAGTCATTCAGAATTTCTCCTGAAGTGTGCAGAGGGACAAAGGCTCAATGAGCGTGAACTGGCTATATACATCATCCCAAATAGGAATATGCCCAATCATAACCCAAATTTTGGATGGCTCATGAGGTTTACATAGGTTTACCACATTAAAGTCATTAGCTAGTTGCTAGATTCATCCAGCCATATTGCGTCAACAAAAACCTTGCAGGGAAAGACGAAGCCCTGAGCCTCAAGAGTAGCAGGACACAACACACTGCGAGCGCGTTGATGGTGTTGACATGTGACATGTCAATGTGTTGATGGCATTGGTCCAAAAAATGATGAACCATCCAGGACTGCCGCATGAGGCCAAACGATGTTCTCAGCAAGCTGGGCTGTGAATGCCTGTGACAGGGTGAGGCAGAAAGACTGTGAAAACATTCAGCGCAAAACGGTCGCCTTGACTTGTGCGACTCCCAGACGGTTTGAGGATGTTTTAGGGGTGATGATGAAGGATACTGATGTGGACCCGATGTTGATCGCAAATGGTGTTGTTCAGTTTTCACGTATGAAATGTCAGTGCCATTGATTTCATGCAAAAGAGTTGCTTTTTAGAGTGCTTAGGATTTGCTTGAGTTCACCTTGACATACCGTGACCACATTCTCAACAGTGACACACGGCAACGGTACTTGGAAAATCCCCAATGCTTGTCCATTGTGCAGTATTCCAGGTGTGCAAGAGACTGAGTGTACCTTGCGTTTGACTCAGCCGTTTTCTATGAGATTGCTTAGAACCTGTGGCCAGCCTCTGCCCTATGTGACATATCCCACATAGAGATGCCCGACTTCAAGTTGAAGACAGATGAGAACAGCAAGGCTACAGAACTGCCATTGATTCGCATTTGCGGTACTGTCGAGCCTTAGATTTGCTGAGTCATGCTAAGTCTATGTTTTTTATTTTCCTCTGGGTCTACAGGATGGTGCCCCCCCAGTTATAAGTTGGTTTATAAACCCCATTAACTACAGTATATAATTAGTATTAATTAGTTATATCTATATATACCATAAACCATAGAATTCAGCCACTTTTTTTTCGGCAACTGAACGCAACAACGACTGGGGGCCCCATCCTGTACCATACCAATTGGCCAATCTTCTTGTCAAGGATGACCATGATGAATCATGATGACCTGAGCTAGGAGCAGAATCCGCACATGAGAGCCTTCTGGGGTGCCACCGTCTCCTTCTTCCTGGCGTTCTTGGGCTGGTTTGCCTTAGCGCCATTGGGATTGGAGGTAGCCACCAGCATGGGCACTTGTGAGAACCAAATCTACCCTCCGGTACCTTGGGCTGGTGATATCGTCCCAGGAAATCCACCAGAACTGAGGAATCTATTGGGAATGTGAGTTCCACATTGTTTTACAAATTGTTTTACATGTTTATTTGGGACCAAAATAGGCAAATCCAAGGTGGAGCATCCTACGAGACTGGCATACTTGAAGTTCAAGTCTCTGAAGACAGGCGAAGCTTACTGTCAGTATGGCATCATCAAGAATTCTGATGACGACCCAATAGACTGCGCAGAAGTGCCTTATCCCCAAAACACCACTGGAACTGCGGAGGAGAAGAAGAAGTACCGACCCAGCATTCTTTCCAGCTGTGTTTGCACGGCAGGAACCAATTGCAACCACATCATCGCAAATGCGGGTGTCGCAGCTGTGGGTTCAACAATCTTCGTGCGCATCGCCCTTGGAAACCTCCTGGAACGATTTGGACCAGTGAACGTGCAAGCAGGTCTCTTATCTTTCGGAGCTTTCTGGGTTGCAATGGCTGCGTGCATTTCAGCACCTTGGAACTACACTGTGATAAGGTTCTTCATTGGCTGTGTAGGAGCGCCCGGAGAAAGTGAGTTTCACTGGCAATTTGCACTTTTAAAGTGATCTTCCATGAGTTTCACACACTTTGCTGCCTTAAGCACCCTAAACATTCAGAATGTCGTTGTGGTTTAAAAGTAACATAAGTAACTGTTATCAATTGTTTTTCGGATGCCGCTGATTACATGCACCTTCAGCATGTTGTTGCGGCGCCTTACCCAAGCACCTCTCTTCACTTGCAGGAGCTACGTTTGTCACGAACCAGTTCTGGTGTTCCTTGATGTTTTCCCCAAATATCGTTGGCACTGCCAACGCCACGGCAGCAGGCTGGGGGAATTTGGGTGGAGGTGTGACGCAAATCTTTATGATCTCGGTCCTCTTCAACCCGATGATCGACTCAGGGATCGATCCAAACACGGCCTGGCGGATGGCGATGATCGTTCCAGCTGTCCTCTTCGTCCTGTGCGCAGTGACCTTGAAGCTCTTGTGCTGGGACACCCCCATGGCAAAGCGATTCGATGTGGCCGTGATGGGCAAGACCAAGAAGCCGTCTCTATGGGATTATGTTGAGGTGCTGAAGGACATCCGCGTGGTTGTGATGATCATGCAACTTCCATTTGCTTGAGGTGAGGTGAACTCCGAGGTCTTACTGTACTAGTTTTCTATAGTTTTCTTATGTTTACATTTCATTGCCATTAGACCAGTGCCCGGACGTCCTTGCCTTGTGGCACCAGCTCTGCAAACCAGTTCGGAAAAAAAAAACGGAAAGCGTGCCAGTATGTGACATGCATTGGCACCATGTTGTTTTTCGATGGCGCGGGAACTGTGGGAAGTGGTGAGACGGCGCTGGAAGCAGCATGTGCTGGATGCCATAGGTGTATCTATATAGTGCGTATGAGGAGTCGATTGGAGGTAGCAGTAGTGCAGAGTGTATTGTATGCAACACAATGGTGATCTAAAATTTGAGTAGATGTGACCGTGACGCTGCTATTTGCCAATCTTGTTCTTGCTGGTGTTCTTGTTGTGCTTCTGGTTGTTCTTGTTTCTGTTCTCGTTGTCTTAGAGGTTGTTGTGCTGTTGAGGTTGTTGATGTTGTTGGTGCTATTCTTTGCGGTGCGTCTCGCAATATGCTAGTATGTTGCGTTTGTTGCTTTGTTGCTCCTACTGTCTTAATGTCGTTGTGAGTGCATGAACTCTTAACCAAGTGGATGCAGCGGCCAAACATTCGTCAAACCGGGCCCCCACACTCACCTATACCGTCCCCCCCCACTCCCCCCTTTTCTAGAGGAGGAAAACTAATATAGCCAAACGCACGTGAAAACTTATCTGTTGCAGGTACTGTTGGGTTGCTTTGGGCCTATGTTCACTTTATTTTGGGTCTATGTTCCTATCTTGGGGCCATCTTGGGACTATGTTGGGTTTTGTTGGGTCGTCTTGGGCCTATGTTGGCCCATCTTGGGACTATGTTGGGCCTGCCTGGTTCTATGTTGGGCCATCTTGGCTCTGTGTTGGCCTATCTTGGGGCTATGTTGCGCCGTCTTGGGGCCATGTAGAAGGAAGAAAAGACCTCAAAGTGCAAAAGTTGTATGAACACATGTTTACAACCCAGTTTTTCACGGTATTTGTGCAACATTCATGTAGCCATTACAATGCGTTTGGCAGCATCACGTCGCAAACCCGCACGTATCTACGCACATGGCAACACCAGATGACAACAATCATGCAGCCATTCCAATGCGATCTGCAACCGCAGATTCCAAAACACCCTATAACTACGCACGCACAAGCACACCCAAAGCAGCTTGTAGCCACCATTACAATGCGGCAAAAAAAAAGGGAAACCGACCGCAGCCGCAACCGCCGCACACAGGAGGTACCTGTCATCGCCGGCTGCAGCCACTTTACACGGAAAAACGCAAGGTTTCGTGCTCCGGCTTCCTCCCCAGCACAAACCCCATGCAACATTCATGCAGCCATTACAATGCATTTTGCAATATTCTCTTCACCACCATTTCCCTTCGTCACCATTTCTCTTCCTCACCACTTCCCTTCGTCACCACCCTGTGTCATAGCATATTATTATCTATTATTCTTTTGTGATGTATTGTTATGGATTGTGAAGTTTCACACCGCCCTTCATCAAGGTCTATTCTTTTGTGATGTATTCTTATGTAAAGTCTCACACCACCCTTCATCAAGGTCTATTCTTTTGTGATGTATTGTTATGTATAAAGTCTCACACCGCCCTTCATTAAGGTCAAGTCTTTTGTGATGTATTGTTATGTAGTATAAAGTCTCACACCACCCTTCATCAAGGTCTATTCTTTTGTGATGTATTGCTATGCAATGTAAAGTCTCACACCACCCTTCATCAAGGTCAATCCTTTTGTGATGTATTGCTATGTAATGTAATGTCGCACACCACCCTTGTAATGTCTCACACCACCCTTCATCAAGGTCAATCCTTTTGTGATGTATTGTTATGTAATGTAATGTCTCACACCACCCTTCATCAAGGTCAATTCTTTTCTGATGCATTGTTATATAATGTAAAGTCTCACACCACCCTTCATCAAGGTCTATTCTTTTGTGATGTATTGCTATGCAGTGTAAAGTCTCACACCACCCTTCATCAAGGTCTATTCTTTCGTGATGTATTGTTAGGTAGCATACAGTCTCACACCACGCTTCATCAGGTAAAAGTCACCCGTAACTCGGAAGTATTGCTTCCCAACTTCCTTTGATTAATGTTGCCGGCCGTGTTGAAACATATTTCGGCACTGTCCCCCAATGATTGCCCAATGTCCACTGATTTGCTCTGCAAGGTTGCGCAACGCCATAGAACATCATAGAACCATGCAAGTTGCCGCGGCAATAAACAGCATTCAGGCAACCATTTCGATTTGCAAGGCGGAATTGCAAAACAACATAGAACTCTGAACACCAAACACCGGCAAATTTCGCGCCCGAGACAATGCAGAGAGATTTCTGTACGTGTCGTGGTGTAGTGTGTGATCTGCTGTAGTGTAATGCACAGCGATGTTCAGTTGTGCTGATGTTATGTTGCGTTTTGTGTGGCAGTCTAAAGTGTATGTATCGCTGTTGGCGGTTTCTTGAAAAAACATTTGTATATATATATGTGCATATATATATATATATATATACATGTGTGTGTGTGTTTGATATTGCGATATTTTGTGTACATATTTTTGTGCGAAGCCAACGTCCATCAATGTCAGAAAACCTTGAAGAAATCCTTAAGGCAATATTCCGCTTGCTTCGGCACAGAGCTGGCGATGAACAACCAATTGGCGACGCACTTCAGGACTTACTTCCAAATGGATGCAGGTGATGCCTCGGCGTTGGCCGGAGCCTTCGGCTTGATGAATCTCTTTGCCAGGTCTTTGGGAGGAATTGCCAGTGACATCCTCTTCAAGTACTTTGGTTTTCGAGGCCGTATTTGGGCGCAATTCCTGGCGTTGTTCTTTGAAGCAATCTTCTTGTTCTGCTTCGGACTGGTGGACAACACCCAACCATGGTACGTTGCATTGGCAGTGCTTATTTTCTTCTCCCTGTTTGTCCAGATGGCAGAGGGCACAAGCTACGGAATTGTGCCTTTCATGAAAAAGCAGCAGCTGGCCGTGGTGTCTGCACTTGTTGGTGCTGGCGGGAATTTGGGAGCTGTCATTGCTGGTTTTGCCTTCTACAAACCCATCAGCGACCCTTTGCTCCCTTTTCAGGTACATGCAGCGTACGTGTTGTTTTGGACCTTGTTGACGCCTTGCTACTACTGGAAGGAGCATGGTGGCATGTTCCATGGACCAGCGGTGGAGTTTGCAACAGAGAAAGCTGAGAATACGGCGTAAATTTGGCAGAAAATGTCATGCCAAACTTTTGTTTAGGGACTGGTGTTAGGCAGTGCATGGCAGTGCTCGTCCAAAGGACAATAACACATGCACAAGATCCTGCAGTATGGCCTGCAGGTTTCCCTTCAAAGAAGGTTTTTTCATTGCCAACATGTGTCCGCACAGGTGGTGCACGATGTCAAAAGTTCGCTGCAGTTCCTTCCATGAAGACTGTTCATTGAAAGATAGGACAGGCTTTTCCATGCGAAATGACGAGAAATGATGAGAACTGTGGATAGATTGCTTGGACTTTGGAAGCATGTTCAACTACAACATGATGTGCCTGCCGCTGCTTCCTCACTTGCCTCTGCTCCCTCTGGCGTAGACATGCTGGACTGCAAGTTGAACGCTGATGAGAACAGAAGAATGGAGATTGGCCAAAACATACCCAAAAAAACCGTATTATTCATTTTCATTCATTTTCATTCATTACATTCTTATACTACCATATTTCGACTATTTCGGAGGGGATGAACATTCACAACACCCTCACTGCATCTTGGTGGTCTTGGTGTTCACGTGTGTAGCCATGGCGAAAGCGTCGAAGGACGTTCGGCTCCAAGTTGTTGAGGGAGAAGGGATGATTTCAACATGATGGCAAAGTTTGATAATTTTGGTCCAAAAAATATTTTAGGTTGCGAACCTTGACCCAAGACTTGTGCAGAATGTGAAGCTTCCACCCTGAGGAATGGCTCTCAACCTTGCTACTCGATGGAGAAGGTGTCGCCCGAATCTATGTCAGTGGGCTCACACGAAAAAATATTGAAAAAGTCACAGTTTTAAGCGTGAATCATCATGGATATCAGATGATCCACAACCTCCAAAAAGATCGAACCGTAATTTTGCCACAGTTTTACCACTACATCCACTACTAGTATGATCATGTATGATCTAGTATGTTCATTCTGGATGATGACTTTCCATCTTTTGGCAATCCCAAGAAAACAGCCATGGCACATGGGAGGCACCGTGGATGATCTACTGCGTGTGCGGCCAAAAAAAACCGATGACGTGCAGGAGAAAGTGGCGTTGAAGGCGCGGAAGGATAGAATCAGTGGCCTTTTTTGGGTGGGAGATAGGGCGGTACAACCATGAAAATCACGAAACATTGGGGTGTAAAACACTGTAAAGCCATACAAACGTTATAAAACCAAGAAAAATAGGGAGAAGATGTGGATGATTGCTAACATTAAATTAGAATGGATATAAGGGATGTAAGCAACAAGAGCTACCTATAAGACGGAACATGTGTGAGCTACCTACAGTATAAGAGGGAACATGTGTACGAAACTCCTGTCCTTGATGGAAACATCAGTAAACATCAGGGTGTCCTGCATGTTTTCCCGTAAGCATCCTTAAGCCAAACTATTGTTCTTTGTGGAACGAAATGGAGAGAACTATGGAAGAAAACGCATATCAGGTTGAGCGAAAAAAAAGAAACAGCACATCTCCATATTTGCTAGTTCATTCCCCATGTTTGCCTGCATTTGCTGAAACTAATCCAGTTCTTGAAACAGCGGCATGAGCACATCAGATCATCGCTAAGCCTGAATCAACAAAAGGGCCCGCACCGGGGCGGGAATCGACCGCACCGACGCAACATGGATGACTGGATGAGATACCAAATTACTGGAGATGAGCCGCTTGACTGAAAGTGTTGTGAATGTGCATGTTGTTTTCACCAACAAATTGTCTGAAATTGTTTCAACGACCATGAGCCAAGGGTGCATGCGGCGTATATGTGGACATGTTGGATCTCGTGTATGCTGAATTTGGTCTCTTCACCCGATCATGCTTTAAGAGGCTGGAGAATCAGCATATGTAAACCATGTTCGACGTCCTGTGACAGTTGCCACATGTCCGGCTTCTTGGCTCTTTTCTGAAACCTGTCGGTTCCACTTGCAGCGGCTTGGGTTGTCTTCTTCTTTCGGGTTGCTGTGTTCCCTGTTGAACATTGAGTTTCAATCGTTGCCATGTTAATGTTGCAGTCTTTCAAAGTAGCTTCGGCTGGACTTTAAGATGTTTCGAAAGCAAGTTCCTTCTGCAACAGATCTAGCGGCCCCATAGGGACTTCACTGGTGTGGGGATAAGCCCAACAGTTGCTTGTTTTGGTCTTGTGAATATCGAATTAAGAGCTAGTAAACTATATGATTCAAATTTAGGCTATATAAATGTCTTCGGAAAAAACGAATTCAGCTATATATTTTATTATTTCTTATGATTTCTTGATGGCCCAGACATCGGAGTCTCAGGCTTTTCTTCCCAATTCAGGCGCTACATCTACGCCTTCCGGCGGCAACGCGCTGTACGCGCAGCCTTCATGGGAGGAAGCCTGGGGGCCATTGGATGCGTCAGTGCCTCCATCATGACCTCGCAGGTGGAAATGGCTGGTTCACCACCCCTTGGATTTCTGGCCGATTACTGTATAGGCCCCAAAAAATTGGAACGGTTTAAGAAGTTGCCATGAAATGCCAAGATGTTCACTCATGTTCACTCTATCTATATATATATATATATGAGCCCGGTCCCCGGACCCCCACACACCCCCCCCCCTCCCCCCCCAATGGTATCCCCCCCCACTCCTAACCCCCCCCACCCCCCCAAAACCTAGTATTTGCATGTTATTTGCACATATACATACACATATACACATATATACTCCCCTTTCCACCCCTCCAACCTCGCATCTCTACGTTATTTGCAGCACTTGAGAGCCACGACCTCGTCAACGGACCTTGTCTACCTGTATATTTCTATCATAACCTTTGTTTCGAACCGCCTATAGCGTGCCTCGCACATGGTTTACAACATATTTGCTACCTATGGATTACGCAAAGCTTACCTATGCAAACCTAGACATATGTACAGTAGAAAAACAATAAATATATATATATATGCACATTCTAGATACTACATATTGATATCTTGATCTTGTATCTATCACATATTTCGTTTACATTGTACATACTGTACACGTATATATATATATATATATAGTACATATATATATATATATATACACATGTCGGCCAAGAAACCATTCCTCCAGCAACAATCGGCTTGGCTGCTGAGAAAACCCCCCTCCCCTACCACAGGGGGGGGGAACCATCTGGCTGGGGGGGGAGGGGTGTGGGGGTCCCTGCTCATATATATATATATATATATACACACAAATTCACTTTTCTACCTTTTGGCAGGGGTAATTTTGATCATTTGGCGACCTCTTTGGCCGACCCCGCGCCAGAAATCATGGTTCATTAGTATGGTTCGCCAGGGGGAATAATAGCAAAATGGCCGAGAAAGAACCACAGGTACATACAGGTACCATGCACTAGGCTAGGACAAGAAGTCGGCAGAATAAGGAGCAACAAGCCATTATGGAATGTTGATTGAGAGAGGACCTAGGGTGGCTGCAGGAGCGGCAGGAGTTGATTTAGACTAGACATTACTGACGGCATATAATTGTGAAAAGGGATGGTTGCACAGTTGCACAATATTTAGCAATACTGAATGTTCTCATTGTTTGTTAAGAACATTTTCTTGGCGCATGCACATGAAAAAATATGAACAGGTCTTGCCCCTGTATTGTCCCTTGGCAGGTCTTTGCCAAAGCAACTTGGCTCTGACCGTGTGCTCTTTAGATATCTTTTGTATTTTTTTCCAGCGGTCAAGCTGATGGTGTCAATGATATGATGATTGTGGCCCAGCCATTTATAGTGTGATTGACACATTAAGATACTTTTGGTCTACAACCCAACTACTGTTGGGGGATGTTTGGGGTATCAATCACCTCATGCGAACTGCCAAATGCTCATCGCTGTCCACCTGAAAACCCATGAAAACTCAAAAACTGGAAGATCATTTCTTAAAGGTTCCATGTCAATTCTCATGAGATCAGGTGGAACAATTGTACCTGGAGAGCAAAAGTTGTTCACACCCTTTGGGCGTGCAGTTTCACATGGTTTCACTTAATAAGCCATAATCATGGGATGCCATGGCATTCTAGTAATCTAACATAGCCATGGCAATGTCAATGTTTGATAGCTTGATTTTCCACTGCGAACTGTTGAATTGCCAGAAGGTAAACTGCCAAAACTCAACCCAACTGGTTAGTTATCTCCCATGATATCCCCATATTCTTGCTAATCCAACTGGTTTAAAAACCCATTCTAATCCAGCTGGCTTGTTATCCAATACATATGATTTATTACTACTATATGACTATATATATATTATTATTATTATTATTATTCTATTATTATTATTATTGTTGTTGTTTTTGTTATTATATGTATAATTATGTATATATATATATATTATCGAAGGAAGTTTAGAAGTCAAACTTCCGACAATGGACAGGTGAAAAGCAGAGATGGGAAGAGTCAGAGAGAAGAGAAGAGTTGAGTAGAAGAGAGAAGATGAGAGAAGAGAAAGAGTCAGAAGAAAGAAGATGGAGATGCGCGAAAAGGTAGGAAAGTCGCGAAACACAGTGTTTTTCCAATGGTTTGTGGCTCCGGAGGAACAAAAATTAGGCTCGCTAAAGCGGCGGGTGCGGAGCCATCTGGCCAGATGAGAGATGAAAAAGTGTACGCCGTTGTGGCCCGAAGCACATTTCCAAGTCAAAATGTACAAAACACACCATGCTCGGACCACTTTTGGAAGTTGAGATGTCGAAAAAATGCACGCAGCTGTGGCGCAAAGCACATTTGCCAGCGAAAAATGTAAAAACACATCACGTTCGGAACACTTTTTGAAGTTGCCATGTCGAAAAAGTGCAAGCCGTTGTAGCGCGAAGCACATTTGCCATTGAAAAAGGTAGAAGCACCTCACGTTCGGAGCACTTTTCGAAGTTGCGATGTCGAGAAAATGCACCCCGTTGTGGCGCGAAGCACATTTCGAAGTCAAAATGTACAAAGCACTTCAGCTTCGGACCACTTTTGGAAACTGAGATGTCGAAAAAGTGCACGCCGTTGTGGCGCGAAGCACATTTCGAAGTCAAAAGTGAAAAAGGTTGAGGGGTTCGGAGCACTTTTGGATGTTCAGATGTCGTTTTGCGTGGCAGGCGCGCGGGATTGTGCACTTTGTCAAAAGTGAGCGAAACGTGAGGGTTTTGTGGCATTTCCAAAAGCGATAGCAGGCGTGGGACATTTGAAGAGGATCTGCAAAGATGCATTTTCCGTGGCAGGTGCAGTACAAGAGACATGTTCATCAGAGCTGTTAGGAGGTCCAGGCGCTGATTTCCTGAGAAGGGCTGCATTTGGAGCATCAGATCTTCACTTTTTCGTGGCAAGCGCAGTAGTTTAGACAGCTGGAGTCGAAAAATCGCAAAACGCATTGGCACGAGGCCGTCAGCTCTGCACTCAACTTTCTATTTTTGAAGGACGTCTCGCAGAATTGCCTCGTTTTTGATGTTGTCAACTCAAAAAAAAAAGGACGTCTCGCAGAATTGCTTCGTTTTTGACGTTGCCAAGTGCAGAAATTGAGGAAGTCTCGCTGAATTGCTGCGTTTTTGATGTTACCAAGTTCAAAAATTGAGGAAGTCTCGCAGAATAGCTTCGTTTTCAAGCTTGCAGATAGACAGATAGATGGACAGACAGGCAGACAGGCAGACAGACAGATAGATAGATAGATGAGATAGAGAGAGAGAGATAGATAGATAGGCATATAAAGAGTTAGATGAGATAGAAAAGATAGGTGAGATAGATGAGATAGATGAGATAGATGAGATAGAGAGAGATAGATGAGCTAGATGAGATAGATAAGATAGATAGATAGATAGATAGATAGATAGGTAGATAGGTAGATAGGTAGATAGGTAGATAGATAGATAGATTAGATAGATAGATAGATAGATAGATAGATAGATAGGTAGATAGATAGATAGATAGAGGAGATAGAGGAGATAGAGGAGATAGAGGAGATAGACGAAATAGACGAGATAGAGGTAGGTAGGTAGATAGATAGATAGATAGATAGATTTGATTAGATTAGATTAGATTAGATAGATAGATAGATAGATAATTAGATAGATTAGATAGATTAGATAGATAGATAGATAGATAGATAGATAGAGGAGATAGAGGAGATAGAGGAGATAGAGGAGATAGACGAAATAGACGAGATAGAGGTAGGTAGGTAGGTAGGTAGATAGATAGATAGATAGATAGGTAGAGAGAAAGATAGATAGAAGGTAGATAAATAGATAGATAGAGAGAGGGAGAGAGAGATAGATAGATAGTCAAATAGATAGTCAAATAGATAGCCAAATGGATACTCAAATAGATAGTCAAATAGTTCTCTATCTCTCTATCTCTCTATCTCTCTAAGTCACATAGATAGTGCATTAGCTAGTGAAATAGATAGTCAAATAGTCAAATAGATAGTATCTATTAATAGATAGTCAAACAGATAGGTGGATAGATGGATACATAGCTAGACAGACAGACAGACAGACAGACAGACAGACAGACAGATAGATAGATAGATAGATAGTCAGATAGACAGATAGATAGTGAGAGAAAGAGAGAGAAAGAGAGATAAAGAGAGGAGACTCAGAGTCTCAACCACCTTTCGGTCCATCAATCGGTTCGCTTTGCCATCCGTGCTTCACAGCAACCAACCTCTCCTATAGGTTTTTGATTTTTGACACTTCCACCACCGCCTTGTGCGGTACTACTGGTACACATATATTATATCCCAGTTAGATCTCCATACTGTTGATGGTTGCGAAATCATGAATCAGTTGGTAGATTTGATGGTTTATCCCGTGATATATAATCCCAGTGTTTACAGTACCAGCTGCAGTATTATCGATATTATCCGTACATTGTCCATAGGTCCATATTATCCACATATGATCTATATATTGTGATATATTGTCCATATTATCTCCATATTGTTTGCTTTAAACATGTTTAAAGCACACGTTTGCCACCCCAGTGGCGCGGAGGAATGGCCCCCGCCGGGGCTTCCCAAACGCTGCGCCGGCTTTTCGGTCTTTTTCGGCTTGGCCTCAGCGGCGATTTCCTGGCAGCTTGGGACAGACATATCAACAACAATTTAGGTGTACACGGGGTACCTCAAACTCCTTGATGGTTAAGTAGTTCAGTAGGATAAAGATAGTTTGTATAGTTTATTATTTTAATGTTGGCTGCTTTATAGCCGCTGCTACAGTACATAGCCAATAAAGCAACAATGTGTTGTGAGAAGGAATTCTGTGATTCTAGCTGTATGTTTACACGAATATCATAAACGAATCTATGATAATCTAGCAGGCAGTGACTTTGTTCTCATAAGAGGCATTGTTGCCCCACATGGGTCCTGCGAGAGATAACCACTGAGTTCCCGAAAGTGCGACGAAAGTAAAACAAAAAAACACTTCACGAAGAATTGCCTGAAATTTATGCATACAGATTTGGCTTGTGTGTAGGTAAAAGTTTGTGTGCATATAGTATGAATATTAATGTTAATATTGATTTGAACATGAACATTAATATTAGTATTTACATGAATATGAATACGAATATGAATATTAATATTATTATGCACATGTGTGTGTATCAATATAAATAAATGAAATATATATATATATATATCATTTTGATTTGCATTGTTCAAACATTTTTGGAACGGTTTAGTAGCACCCATTCAGTGGAAGAATGAAGTAATGTTTTGATGGGTTCAGATTGTTTAATAGCATTTAATGATGCTAGAGCTGCCAGACACACCTTGGATGGTTGATTTTTTTGCTGTTGGGCATTGGCTTGGCAACTGCCCGCTATTCACATGCAAGGTCGTGCGCCACATTTTATCAATTGGTGTATAGACCCATCAAAGTGCAGAGATCTATTGTAAATCATAGTTAGCTTGCCTTCTGGTAATTTACCATATAGCCATCTGGAAAATTACCAGGTTTAGATATCTTTCATACGGTAAATCAATGTAAACCATCGATTTCCATGTACCAAAACCACAGCAACCTGTTCCTTTGTCGGTAGTTATGTTTACCAGCTTAGCAAACGGTGTGGCACCGTAGCCGATGCAATGTCGAGGATTGGAAGCCAACATTTGGTGGGCCAACTGAGCCTTCCCCAGATGGAAGGAGTCGCCGAAGAGGTGCCCGGCCTGCCCGACAGATGGGGAAGCTACGGCTGGCCGGTACCTCATGGGTTGAAAAAACAAAGATATGGGGAACATGTTGTTGTCTTGTAACAGTCTACAAGCATAGATCGGGAATATGAATCATGAATTGGTGATTTTCTGCCACCAAACAAGGTGATATAAAAAACAGTCCGGCACCTCGCCCGAGCACACGCCCGAACTGAACCAGCCTGGGCGCGATCAACGGCAGCCGCCGCCTGGGCGCTGCGCTGGGCCGCGCTAGCGCCGCGACGCGAGCACCCGCCGCGGGCCTCCTGGACTTTCCCGCCCATAGCAAAGACGCCATGGAGGGCCCCCCCCCCCCCCCTCCTCGCCGAAACCCGGTACCCCCTGCACCCAGCCGCCTGCCCCCCTGAAGCATAGCAAAGACCTATCGTTTCTGACGTGCGCCTGGGCGGACTTGGGGGAAAAACAATCATATTGCGGATGTAATTAATGGGACATAAACAACGATAATTTGGGCGAACCTCAAAATGAGGAATTAATCATTAATAGTAGGCAGTTAATGGGAAAAGAATGGGATACAACGGCGATATCAATATTTATTATATATATATATATATGTGTGTGTGTGCATATGTGTGTGGAAAGCCCTGCAACAAAGGGTCAACAAGTTTCATGCGCATGTGCAGCCACCACTGAATTGTGATAGGGGACACAGCATGTCACTGGGATTGTGACCAACGAAGCTACCAGTGAAATGGGGTATCCAGCTTGGCCTGCTGGACGTACCTGCAAAGTTTCCGGACATGGGATGTGGCTAACCTAAGAACCACCTCGCCGTTATACATGTCATGCACGCTTGCCGCAATTTGGAGCAGTGTCATCTTTTGAGTTTTTGAGTTTGATTTTGACGACCTTGCTCATTTCATCTTATTCCATCCTCTCCTTTCAGGGTGTTTCCAAGTGTGTGTGTGTGCGTGTGTGTGTGTGAATGTATATAACCAAGCATGTCCAAGTTGGGTGTGGTACCTGGAAAACGGTGGATTAAACCCAGAGCATGGCAATGTTGAACGGTGAACATTTCAAAGATTGGGCTTAAGCAGCAAGAATTTGGGTGAATATGCTGATGTGTTGTACATAACATTCTATATACATAGATCGGGGATGTTAATGGATATGGAGGATTTAGCCACTAAACATGGGGGTACGAAACCAATCATTCAATGGCGATATACTGGGACATGAAAACATGAAAGCAACAGTGATAGTTTGGGTGTATCATGGTGTACCTCACATGGGGATCTCACCACCACCAGTAGAGATTTAATGGGACGCCAGCGGGATAAAATGATGATATTTTTGAGACATGTAACTAACTATATTAATTATATCCAATGTGGGTGCGGCACCTGTAAATGGAGGATCCCACCCATAAAGTTGTCATTTACTATGGTGGAAAATGATGATAAACCAATAGGTTTGGGGGCGCCCAGACAGCCAAATGCGAAGTGGCCGCGGCTTGAGGCTAAGAAGGCGGCTTCCAAGATGGACCGTGACCGGACGATCTAGCGGAAAAGATGCCCTGCTGTGAGCCACGCATTGCGTTGTGTGGTTGTTTTTGTTTCAAGAAGTTTATGTGTCAGCTGGGAATGCTGAGATGCGGATCCACGATTTCTTTTGACTAACAACCACTATCTTAATATTGGTCACTTGCTGAAACCACAATCCATTGTGGATTTGAAGCCCCGACTTGAATGAGTCTGGCTATGCCCGAAGATTTTGGAGCCCCCACATACCTTTTCCTGCATTGCTCACGGGCGATTTGAGCATCCAGAAGCGGCGAAATCGGGTACCAATTGAACAAAAAATTGCGTGTTTAGTATTCTATAATGTGTATATAGGTGAACCATGGTGAACCCATTCAATTTTAGTGACTTTCTTGACTTTAGTGGGCAGAGAATTCTGACCCATACTCCCAAGCGGGCTGCAGCCAGCAGGAAGTGCAGCGAATTCTCCGAGAGTACGACCAGGAAACGGCTCCCAAGCGGCTCAGTGGAATGTATTTGGCCTTTCTGGGTGTCCAAAGCCATCCAGTCATCCATAAGATTAGACAAGAAATACCATCAAAAAGAAATACGTATCGTGTATATATATATATGTGTGTATATAATTAATACATACAAATACAAATTTTATATTTTTTAATATTTGTGGTTTGCTTTGGCCCAAGGCCTGAAGCGCAGCCTGACAGAGCGCAAATCTTCTTCCGTTGGAATCTTGGGAAAAGACGTGAAAAGCATAGAAGCCGCGGTGAATTTGACTGATCAAAGATGACAATGATGATGTTTTAGCATCCGTTTGTCGAGATTTTGTCATTTGATTTAGATAAGTGTAATTTTGAAGCTACTCCTGGCATGTGGCCTGCCAATCCACCAGCAACGTGCCAAGGATTTTCGGAGGACTTCAAGAGAATTCCCTTTGCAGCTGCGGCGAAGGAACCTGCGACAGCCCTAGGTAGTTGGATGAAACACAGATTTGTGATTCTTTATGTCGTTCCAACTGTCTCGGTGTGTATATACATATATATATATATGTATGTATACATAATAGGGCGAGAGACACAGAGAGAGAGAGAGAGAGATATATATATATATATATATATTTACATACATATAAATAAATATATATATATATACAAATATAGTCAGCCCCCCTCCCATGACCCGATCGTCTGCTTCACCCTTTCATGTATCAATACAATTGAAACAACTGGAAAACCAAAAAACCAAACAAAAAATAACAACAACAATATTTTGAGACTCTTTGGAGAAAGCCACAGGGACAAAACCAAAAAAAAGACTCAAAAAACAAAAACATTGGAAAAAAAAACCTTTAAACTCTTTGGAGGAAGCCCCAAGGAGAAAACAAAAAAAACGCGAGGAAACAAACAAATAAAATTTGGAAAACCAAAAAGCACAAAAACACAATATTTTGAAACTTTTTGGAGAATGCCCCAAGGAGAAAACAAAAAAAAACTCGAGAAAACAAACAAAAACAAAAAAACTGGAAAACTTTCCCAAACAATTGAAACTCTTGGCTGACCCCCTTTGTTCCCAAGACTCCTTGCTTTTATGATTTTCACGATTTTTTTTTGTTTGGTTTTCTGTTCTCGAGGTTTGGTTTTTATTTCCTGAATTTCGGGTCCCCAATTACATCTAGATGTTTTGTTCGTTTTTCTTGCTGTTTCTATCCACTAGAGGCTCCTGTACTGAAACTTGGAACGACTCCTCAGCCATCAAGCTTCGATATTCCACTGCCGTCTCCTTCTTTGTTTTCTTTTGTTTGAGCCATGCCTCTCGTGCCCCAGCCATGTTCCGCGGCCAAGCCCACATACACTTCGTCGTCAGGTCCCAAGTCGCAAGCAACCTGCTTAATGAAACGTTTTTTTCTTCTTGTTGACGCGCCTGCTCGTTTGCTTCTTTGCTTGTTGCATTAGATGAGGTCAAATGCCGCGGAGTATGCAATTGCATGCAATTGCGGCATTTGAGTCTCTAGCCTGCATGTACATGATGTGTACTGCTGTTTTTGTCTTTGGTTTGCAAGCTTACGTCTGCATAGGCATACCAACTTACTCTTCACTCAATGAGGTCTGGCGAGGACGCGTGGACGGTCGAGGCCTTGAATGTGGCACCGATCATTCCCCAGCCGCTTTGCTACATTGAAACGAATTACAGTCCGGTCTTTAGATTTTGTCGTTCGCCGTACTTTCTGTTGGTCTCCTTGTCGAAACAAAAAGAACATGCTTTAGCTCATAAGGCCCGACTCGGCCTGACTTTGTGGACTGGATGGATGGATGCGGACTTGAATGTGCCGCCACTGACTCCTCAGCCGCTCAGCTGCGTGAAAACGATTTCCATTCCTGTTTCTGCACTATGTCTATAGCCGGCCACTTTACTTTTCACAACCTTCTGTATAAAAGAAAACCTTTCATTCTTAAGCCCATGAGGTCCTGAGCATACCGACTGGATAGCCGCTGACTTCCGCTGACTTAAACGTGATGCCAATGATGCCTCAGCCACTTAGCTGCCCAGAAATGATCCTGCTATCTGTTTGTACCTGTAGTGCTTGTAACTGTAAAAAAGACACCTGCCAATGAGGTCCGACCACAACAACTTGATGGAGGATGTGCTCACTGCCCGAGACACCTCCTGAACTTTTTGCGGTGCCGTTCAGTCCCGCGCGTACAGGTTGGAAAAGGGGCTTTGCGTTGCGCGTACTTTCCTTTAAGGTTGCCCCGCGTAGCTTCATCACACAAGTCAGCAAATGTCTGTCGCGTCCTTCCACCTTAGAACCGTCCAATATCTTTGAACAACATCTGTACCGTCCCGAAACATGTGCCTTTCACGAACCTTGGTGGCTGGTGACATGTGATTATCCCACAACATCCTTTGCTTTGTTTGCGCATGCCTGCCCACAATCTTCCTTCCGATCCAATTATGCAAATACACGACGCATTGCAACCCCACAATGTCCTTTGCTTCATCTGCTAATGCCTGCGCACAACCTTCCGTCCGCCCTACTTATGCAAAGACACACAACACTGTCACCCCACGATATCCTTCGCTTCATCTACTAATGCCTGCCCACAACCTTTCATCCGGTTAAATTAGAGCCACTTTATGCCTATAACCATTGAACATCAAACTTCCAAGTGTTTGGTTGCAGAAAATACGAAGATATGGCGTAAGTAGATATGCAGACTATATACAGTGTAATTTTTTAAATCTCAGCACGACAGGTATGAAAAGCTGAGATACAAGAGTGGGTGATGTTGGCACATGTTGGCACCACATTCAAATGATGTTGCAAACGGGGTTGTGGGGGGTGATATATATATATATGTATGTATGTGTGTGATGTAATGCAATGCAATGCAATGTAATGTAATGTAATTTAATGAAATGTAATGTAATGAAATGTAATGTAAGGAAATTAATGTATGTATGGTATGTATGGTATGTATGGTATGTCTGGTATGTCTGGTATGTACGGTATGTATGGTATGTTTGGTATGTTTGGTGTGGTATGGTATGTATGTAATGTAATGTATGTAATGTAATGTATGTAATGTATGTAATGTATGTAATGTATGTAATGTATGTAATGTATTTAATGTATGTAATGTATGTAATGTAATGTAATGTAATGTAATGTATGTAATGTATGTAATGTATGTAATGTATGTAATGTATGTAATGTATGTAATGTATGTAATGTATGTAATGTATGTAATGTATGTAATGTATGAATGTATGTAATGTATGTAATGTATGTAATGTATGTAATGTATGTAATGTATGTAATGTGTGTAATGTATGTAATGTATGTAATGTGTGTACGTAATGTATGTAATGTACGTAATGTATGTGATGTATGTATTCTTTGTATTGTATGTAATGTATGTAATGTATGTAATGTATGTAATGTATGTAATGTATGTAATGTATGTAATGTATTTAATGTATGTAATGTATGTAATGTATGTAATGTATGTAATGTATGTAATGTATGTAATGTATGTAATGTATGAAATGTATGTAATGTATGTAATGTATGTAATGTATGTAATGTATGTAATGTATGTAATGTATGTAATGTATGTAATGTATGTAATGTATGTAATGTATGTATGTATGTAATGTATGTAATGTGTGTAATGTATGTAATGTATGTAATGTATGTAATGTATGTAATGTATGTAATGTATGTAATGTATGTAATGTATGTAATGTATGTAATGTATGTAATGTATGTATGTATGTAATGTAATGTAATGCAGTGTAGTGTAGTGTAATGTAATGTAGTGTAGTGTAGTGTAATGTAATGTAATGTGATGTAATGTAATGTATATATGTATGTATGTGTGTGTATATGTGTGTTCATGTATGTGTGTATGTATGTATGCATGCATGCATGCATGTAATGTATGTATGTATATATGTATGTATGTATGTATGTATGTATGTATTTATGTATGTATGTATGTATGCATGCATGTATGTATGTATGTATGTATGGTCTGGTCTGGTCTGGTATGGTATGATACGGTATGGTATGGTATGGTATGTAATGTAATGTAATTTAATGTAACTGTATGTATGTAATGTAATGTAGTGTAATGTAATGTAATGCAATGCAACGCAATGCAATGCAATGCAATGTGCGTATGTCTGTATGTAAGTATGTATAAATGTAATGTAATGTTGTGTTATGTAATGCAATGCAATGTTATGTAATGTAATGTATGTATAAATGTAATGTAATGTAATGTCATGTAATGTCATGTAATGTCATGTAATGTCATGTAATGTCATGTAATGTCATGTAAGGTAATGTAATGTAATGTAATGTATGTAAGTAATGTATGAATGTATGTATGTTTGTATGTATGTATCGTATTGTAATGTAATGTCATGTAATGTAATGTAATGTATGTAATGTATGTATGTATGTATGTAATGTATGTATGTATGTAGGTAGGTAGGTAGGTATGTATGTATGTAATGTATGTA